TGTGTGTGTGTGTGTGTGTGTGTGTGTGTGTGTGTGTGTGTGTGTGTAATACAAGTGCACATGAGTGTAGATACTAGTGTCTGTGCAGATACCCATGAATGGTATACATTTTCCTACTCATCAGCCCATCTGTTTTTCATGCCCATATTGTTCTCTCCCCACACTGGACTTTCCTATCAGCCCCCACTCTTCCTCTGAGTGCCGGCCAGGACGTTTATCAGAACACAGGAGGGCCAGTGTGGTACTCCCTGTACAGCAATGGGCGAGGATGCTGGGGACTTTGCTGAATTAGGCAGCTCTGATTCTGAGGTACATGACTGAGGTGCCCCAGGAGTTCCCAGAGTTCCCCGATACCTGCCCACTGGGAGCTTATTTCCAAATCTGACACCTCTGGTTACACACACACACACACACTGGTGGAGCTGGAGTCACAGTCAACATTGAAGACTACATTTGCTCACAGGGGTGCCCCCTGCATCCTGCTGGGGTACTTTTACTAAGCAGGAAGCCCCAGCTCTAACAGAATGAAAATTGGCTAGTACCTTGGGTCCTGGGATGCCCACATCTCCCTATGCGGAAAAAGAACAGGATTACAATAAATTCAGACATGTGTATCAATCAGAGAAAAGAAAACCAATGGTCCTATTTCTGCTGATTTTAGGGGTTTCTGGGCCTGTTCCCACCCCAACCCCCATCCTGTCTGTTAGGGATAGAACCGCTGGGAAGCTCAGCAGGGAGGGGAGCCATGAGAGCCCAAGGCCAAAGCATCTCTCCAGGAATGTCTCTCAGAACCTATCAAGTGGAGAGCCCTTTGGGCTTAGCCAAAAACAGACAAGCTCTGGGTATGTAGTTCATTTTAAACAGTGGTTCCTAATCTGTGGCTGTGACCCCTTTGGGGGTCAAATTGACCTTTTCATAGGGGTTGCCTAAGACCATCAGAAAACAGATATTTACATCATGATTCATACACTTATGAGGTAGCAACAAAAATAACTTTATGGTTGATGGTCATGACAACATGAGGAACCGTAACAAAGGGTTGCAGCATCTGGAAGTTTGAGAACCACTGATTTAAAAGGACCTTCTCGGGGTGGGGGTGGGTCTTGCTCATCCCATTTCCAGGAAGTGCCTCCCTCCCTCATCAGTGAGAAGACCACATGGTTAGCAGAGGCTGAACTTGCCTCTGAAGACTTCTATCAATCTAACTAAAGCAAGACCTCAAGTATCGAACCCTTTCAAATCAAATGAAGCACTAATGCCTAAGCTGCTAGTCCTTTTGTAGCAAATATGGAGACCCCGACTTCCAAAGCTGAGGCCGCAGACCGTGTCCATGGCCTCACCCGATAGCAAGCACCCTCCTCAGACCCCCAAGCACACAGTGTCCGCCACCCTCTGGCTACAGGTGTGTGCCAAGTGACATCCACTTAAAGGAGCTGACTTACAACACTGCCTTTCTGGCCGGCCACTCCTGGTGGGCCCTCTTTGCCTGGAGGACCTGGAGGTCCCTGAGGGACAGAAGAACAAAGATGGGCTAGACAGGATCTACGGTGAGCAGGCAAGAGCTGGCACCCAAACTTCCTAAGAGCCAGGATAGAAACTATTCCCCCACAAGGAGCATGCACAGCTCAGAAGGCACCATCACAGAATGGAGATCATTTGTGTGGGCTCGTTCTTCTGAGCTGCTGGTTATGCCGGAGAGCCTGAGGTGGCAGGCTCATGTATCCATCCAGAGTCAGATAGTGGGTCAGCACCCCCAGAATCACAGGGTAACCTACCCCCGCCACCTTCATCCTAAGAGAGACCAAAATGGGAACCACCTCCACCTTGAATGGAGAACGGATTATGGGAGCCCTGAGGTTGATCCGGCAAGAAACCTCACAGGATGCCCCACCCCCGCCCCACCTCCCAGTCAAGAGGGTGCTCTAGGTCAGGGGAGGCAGCAGAACTTACCGGGGGACCAGGAAATCCCGGGGGCCCTTCCTTTCCTGGTACACCAGGAAGGCCTGCAGGTCCTGGAGCGTAGGAGCTGTTGACCCCAAAGCGCCCTGGCTCACCAGGCAGTCCTGGGACACCAGGGGGTCCTGGGGGGCCAGGAAAGCCTCGTGGGCCCTGGGCATGAGAGATACAGTCCATCATAGAATACATGGCCCTGCTGGGCGATGGTCACATCCCCAGCTAGTCTTGTCCTGCCCCCAAGGGGTTCGCCCTCACGCCTTGGGTACCATGCTTTACATGTGCCGTGGGGACAGCGGGGTGCAGCCACTTACTCTGAGGCTCTCCAGGTCTCCACTGAAGCCTGATCCCTCCATGTCGATGAAGGTCTGAGGAGAGGCAAGAGAAGCCATCGCAGGACATTGACTCGCTGTCCTGACTACCAGGCAGCGCCAGCCAGCTAGCTGCCCCCTAACCATCCCACAGATGCCTAAGATGGGAGGTGGGACGAGATGTTTTGCCCTACAGCCTGGCCACCATCCCAAGCATTCTTTTGGACAAACACTATCAGGAGCTAGTTCCTGGGGTTAAGTAACGGGACGTGGCGTAGAGGAGGCCAAGGGTGGAACTTACCAGCTTGTCCTGTCTGAAGGAGGGTCCTGGTGGCCCTGGAGGTCCTGGAGGTCCTCGAGGCCCCATACCAGGATCTCCCTGGGACATAAGACAGATCTGTCACACTGAGGACACGTGGAACCCACTTTTAGTCAGGAACTGAGACAGGAAACAGGCCATACCCTGGTCTGTATACACTTACCTTCTCACCCTTGGGACCCACGTCACCTGGGGTCCCTGGAAAGCCTTGAGGTCCAGTGTCACCCTGGAAGACACAGGTAGGGGCTAGGTAGAGAGAAGCATCTCTCTCCCTTCACAGAATGAATCTTGAGCCCCAAAGGCCCCTCATTCCAGAGCAGGGAGCAGATAGGAGGCAAGCCCTTTAGGGGTTCAGGGAGGCTCAATAAACCAGGAGGAGCCATGTCAACAAAAAGACCCCAAAGAAAAGGCCAGAGTTTAAGAGGGACACCACTGGCTTTAGAGAATAGTGACTGAGTCACACAGTGTCTGGGCGATGGCATGGATCCTCTTCCACTATGGGAACCACAGAGATCCTTGGCAGAGTAGTTGGTAAGTCCACGGTGTGTGTATGTGTTTGAGAGAGAGAGAGAGAAATGCACATGCGTACATGCAAACTCAATGGACACGCTGGGCTCGGGGAAAGCTCCAGTTAGAAAGACTGAGCTTGGGCTGCATGCACTCAGCATGGCTCTCTGTCACGTACAAAGAGCTCCCTGTCGCCCTGACAACATAAGGGACCCCAACTCCTCAGCACTGCAGCCCCTCTCTTGCATGCTGACTTCCCTGCTCTTGGGTGTGCATCCTCCCCTCTGAGGGGCTGCAAACAACGCTTCATGGTTTTGGTAGTCACACGAGCACCGAAATGCACGGGCTTAACTCCCGTTAGCCACCTCAGGCCAGATATAAAACACAACCCAAGTGAAGCAGCTGCCTTCCCACAGCGGCATCTCCGGGAAACCATGGGCCCCGTGTTGGATGCAGGTGGCCTGTGCAGCCTGTGTAAAACACGGGACAGTGTCTGGTGCGGAGAGAAAGCAAACTTACCGGTCTCCCGTCTTCACCGGGGTCACCCTGTAACGTGTAAGAGAAGCCACTATTAATGATAGCTGCAGCCCTGCGGCAGCTACACAAGACTGGACACAGAGACACACCAGCGGTCAAAGCCCTTTTGGTGCGGAGCTGAGAACCAGGAGAGCCATGTGCTGCTGACAGTGTGATGGGCATTTAAAGTTCAGACTTACCATGCTTGGGAGACCGAAAAAGCGAAGAATGCCTAATATGCAAGCCCCTTGCAGCTCACTTCCCTTTTTTCCCTAGACATTGGCATACACCCTCTCTCTGAGACAGGGTTCCTCTGCGTAGCCTTAGCTATCCTGGAACTCGCTCTGTAGACCAGGCTGGCCTGAAACTCACTGAGATCTGGCTGTCTCTGCCCCAAGTGCTGGGATTAAAGGCGTGGGCATGGGCCACCTGACTGAAGACTATTTTAAATTGATCTTGTAAAATGGGCCCTTCTAGTAAGACAATAGGTCCTAAGACTAACTGTTGTTTCTGCCTTTGTAATCAAGCTTGCTTACTCTTCTCAGCGACTAGGGCAGCTGCAAGTCATGTATGGTAAAGTCAGGCCCTGCCTACATGCACAGAGAATACATGTCATCTCATGAGTTTTGACATCATAAGTCTTGGACTACATGATGGCTCTTCGTTGCAAGTCCTGGTGTCATGAGTATCCGGCAGCAGTATTTAACAAAGCTTCTTCTTATTAACATTTATCCATGGTCGTGGTGAATCTCTGTGCAACCCCAGACCCATAACAGACAGTACTTCTGCACCAGAGCTTAGGTCCAGGGCCACCTGGCCTCCATGCTCCAACCACCTTCTAGCTCCTGTGCACGTCAGAAGGGCCAGTGGGAGTCCTAGGATACAAGGATGTTGCTGCTCCGACCCCAAACAACATTCCCAGTAGTCCCGGTCAGAGACCTCGGCTCAGCCCAGATCACAAGGAGAGAGCAGTACTCACCGGTTGGCCATCCCTTCCTGGCGCGCCATCCTTCCCTGGTGGGCCCTGAGGTCCCGGGGGTCCTTGTGCTCCCGGGACAGGTTGTACACTGGGGCTCTGTACCACCGGGCCTGCAGGACCCTGGGGCCCAGCTGGGCCAGGCGGGCCCCGAGCACCTGGCTCTCCCTTTTGTCCTTTCAGACCTCCCTGGGGACAAAGAGGGTACAGGCTGCTGCAACCTGCCTACAAATTCCCCTCACACTGCTGCCACATCCTCTGGGCACTGAATCTCAGAGAGGACTCCAGGGGGGTATGGAGGGAGGGCTCGAGGTAGGGGGATGGGCAGGGTAGGTATGCAGAGGCTTGGTACGCTTCGCTTTGCAAAGGGCAGTAGGCCGGGCGGGAGGTGGGGAGGGGGTGGGCCTGAGGGCTTTGGTAAAGTGAGAGGCGTGGAAGGCATGCCCGGGATGCCCTGGGTCAAGGTCATGGGGAGGTGGCCTCACCTTTAACAAGCCACCTCCATGGTTCTGGACACTCTCATCTCCTGCACCACTTGAGTCTGTGCCAGGAAGGGTCTCAGCTGGGAAGAGAGAGAAGTGGCACTGGCAGGCTTTCAGCAGCCCCAGGCTCTCAGGTTCACTGCCTGAGCTTTATTTTTCCACCCATCAAGGGCGAGGGGAACAAGGCTATGGGAACAGCTACTTGTCTTTCCGCCTACCAAAAGCCCCGAGGACAGGGGCCACGGGAATGGTGAAGGTGAATGACACAAAAAGGCACGCTCACGCGCGCACACACCCACACACCCACACACACACACACACAGAGGCAAACTCCACCCACGCCATTTCCTCTTCTGCAGAACTGTCTGCACATCTGTGGCACTTGTCATGATCTCTGCCCTGAACACTGTGGCGTTTCCCAAGTGCTGGGTTGTCCTTCACAGCTCGGCCACATGCAAGGAGCCCAACTCTGATGGAGGAGTGGTAACCCAACAAACGGCCCACGTTCAGTTCTCCCGTGGCTTCTTCTCTGGGAACAGTAACCACGAGGACACCACCCCAGAACCTCCTGTCGTGTTGGCCTCGCATCTTTCACACGTGCTCAACCCACAAGTGCTGCCGGAGCCAAAGGTCAGCCCACTGCCTAGGGTTGGACTGCCTCTGAGCCAAGAATGGATTTTTATGGATGTGTACAAAACAAACAAAAAAAAAAAAAAAAAAAAAAAAAAAAAAAAAAAAAAAAACACTCAAAGACTTCAAAGGTCAGAAACAGCAGATGCCAGAGACCTTGGTGACCCCGAGCTTGAAGTAGAAGTCTGCCAACTCTACCATTTGCCTTCCCCCGCCTTGGGTATCAGCTATGGTTCGGGAGCTTATTTTCACGAGAACCACATGACAGGTGCTTCCTGAGGTACCATCCTTTTGTGATTAATAAGACGCTTATGGGTGACTCCTGGTGGTGGCTCCTCACAACTTCTCACCAGCAGCAGACAGGATAGAATGTACCATGTCTACGTAGACATCTCCTGGAGACCAGTTCTTGAAGTCAAGAAGACTCTACTTCTTGAACACTATTTCGAGGGATCTAGTGCCCCTTGGCTGGTGCACAGAGGCCCTGTCTTGGGTAAGAATGGACGCTCACACAGCTATTCCTGGCTGAACTCAATACAGTACCTGGCAGGCTTGAGGATCACACTTAAGATTGGCACAGAAAGCATGCTCAGGCCCCTTCCTCATTCTTAGGGTCCTGCGGTGCCACTCCTAGCCCATGAGGCCGAGATCGTTCTGGGGGGAAGGGGGTGTTGCTGATGGTCTTGGGCTCATCTGCTTAGTGAGGAATAAGGCAGATAGGTCCCAGCTCAGGATAACCCCACAGACCGCATCCGTCACAGCCAAACTGCTCCAACTGCAGGAGCCGATCTCCACGTCTGACCACAAGAGGGCAGCATGGGCTCTCGCTGCGGCAGCAAGGCTTTCCTAGAAACCTGACTGTACTGCCTGGGGCAGTATTTAAAACTACGCAAACATTGCTAGGAGAACTCAAACAAGACCTAAACAAAAGGCAACGATGGGTCTTGAGAATCTTTACCAGGACGTCAAGACTGCCAAACTCATCCGCACCAGAACTCCAACAGGCTTTTTCCTTCTCTCTGTGGATGTGTGACCGGCAACAGCCACAGTCCGCAATTCAGGTGACCGCTGAAAACCCCACTGGGGTTGGAAGGCAAAGGGCAGACAGCCTGTCTGAGCTACCCAGTAAAGGCGAGGTCAGGAGAGACAGAGAGATCCATGCCTCAGAGAGAAAGGCAAAGATTCCCAGGCATGGTACAGATGGATAGGCGTGGAAACCCACAGTGCAGAATAGAGTCCAGAAATAGACTCTGTAGAAGGCTCACTTTCCACATCTCAGCTCGGCAGGGAGAAAGGGTCTTTTAACCATGACAGAACAAGGGGTGGGGGGAGGGCAGACAGGTTGGTTTTTTTTGGTTTGGTTTTTTAAGAATTAAAATAGGTCTTTGGAGCACCTTGAGCAGAGTCTTAGATGACACCAGGAGTAAGATCTTTGAACTTCAGCAAAAATTAGTTAAGGTCTGCTCTTCTAAAGATGCTAATTAAGAAAATGAAGGTGGACATTGTGGCTCACACCTGTAATCCTAGCACTTGAGAGGCTGAGACGGGAGGGTTGCATGTTCAAGACCAGCTTAACACACACATATACACACACACAATCACACATATATATACACACATACTCACACACATGAATGCATGGAGCTATCTCTATGTATATAAATAGAGATAGATCTCTCATTATATATCTATATCTATAGATATCTATATATCTATAGCTACCTAGATATAGATAGATAGATAGATAGATAGATAGATAGATAGATAAATAGATAGATAGATAAATGGATACAGCTATCTATATATTTATATAGATATATCCATATCTCCAGAGGGTAGGTTAGGAGGGGAAAGTGAGAGAGAGAATATGAAGACAATGACTGTGACTAAATCCAGAACACCTAAAGAACTCTTCAAAACTCAACAATAAGAACTCATGCAGATCACTGAAGTTTGGCGTAAGATCTAGAGATACACTGAGACATAAGCCCACGGAAAGACGCTCGTTATCATGGTAACGTGAATGAGAGCATGAGGCAGGCCACCTCACAACAGTGACACAGTGATGCCTAAAGACTGCCCTCCTGAGGTGAGGTACAGAGACTCTCACATGCTGGGGTGGGTGGTAAACAGATAAACTACCTGCACAATGGCCCGGTGGGCAGACAGAAGCCCCGAGATAGCTTTCTCTAAAGCCACCTCTAACTGAACACAGCGCATATGCCCATCGCTAGACACGGGCAAATGCATGTGGTCTGTCCGCACGGTGGGTGATAGGGGACCATCGTATAACTGACTGGCTATCATGTGGATGCTCTTTATAAAAGGGACACAGTGCCAAGTAAACTAAGATGATACTTACTGTGTATTTCCCCCACACACATGTGCAGCTCTGGGAAAGGGCCGGCTGCCTGTGGTGACAGAAGCCACAGCAGGGGAGGTGGGGGTGGGCTGCCCAGGGGAGCCGGGCAGAGTAACGGTCAAGTTTTCTCGTCTTCCCTGAGAAAGATGGGCGCTGAGGCAGAGCTCACCTCAAGGCCCGTGGGGCCACACATCGCAGGTGGGATGCAAGTCCCCACTCCTGAGTGGATACTCTCCAGCCTTGTATGACTTAACAAAGGTAGGCAGCCATGGCTGGTGACCAGCGGAAATCTACACCCTGTGTCTCACAACTGTGAGTACTTGAGTCCTGCAGGCTTCAGTCCTCAGAGCCTATGGAAACCACTGTACTTCAATCCCATAGAGTGGTGATGTGGAAGGAGGGATTTATTCTGTTATGGTGCCACATTTGTACCCCAGTAACAGAGGATATCCCAAGACACACAGTTCACTTTTGACATGACACAGGCATTCCCGGACCTGTCTCCCACAGATCAGGAGCCCTGTGCATATCTTCCAGACAGTGGCCTCCATGGGAGACTTGACCAAACCTAAATGCTGATCCATGGCACAGCCTGGGGTAAGGGTGCATTTTCCCCTACACCATACCTCCCTTGAACCAATTCACACTCTTCTAGCAAACTTGATGGCCCTGGACCAGGAGATGGCATCTCTGGAAAGCTTCCTACACATGACAGACAAAGGCAATACAGAGAGAAAGCCTGATGGGAGGATGAAAGACATGTCACAGCTGCCTGGTTCAGAATTCTCCTGGGGCCCAGCCAGGAGCCTGCCTGAACAGGAAGAATGCCTTCTTCTGAGATGGTGGAAGATGGGGACAGTTCTGGCTGTGAAAAAGCCCTCATCCAACACACGCACACAGAGTACATCTAGAAAAGTTTTACCTCCTATAGAATTGACCATGGTTTCTTCCTCCGTTTCTTCTGTTCTGTAATCTTCTGTGGTGCTGCCTCCAGCCAAGGGCGGGGAAGTGACAGGGGGTGGCTGGGGAAGCCTTGGTGGCAGAGGTGTATGCTGCAAGAGGAGAGTAGAAAACCTGGCTCTGTTTCCAGCCGTGCAGCTATCCCGTGCACGTAGGAGCCGGCAATACTGCCTGGCTTTGGGGCTTATGGTTTATGAAATGCTTTACATGCTTTTGAGGAAGATAAGAAAAAAAAAAATCACTCTAGTTGGCATGAATTTCTGCAGAGCCATTTGCTCAACGTCTCCATCAGCCTGGGGGTTGGTGTCATATACCTGGATAGTCCTTAATTCTGGCAAGTGGGACCCACATCGGCATGGCCTGTATTCCTGATGACTTTCTATTAGTAGCTGTGTAGCCCAGGCCCTGGGGAGAACGTTGGCTGAGGTGATGCTGTGAGGCCTGAACAAGGGCCCAGATACTCTTGATGCCACTGTCACAGCACAGACATCACAGACTAGGGTGGACATGGCTTTAACGCCTCCAAAGGGAAGCTTCCACGTGGACCTTCAGATTGGCCAGGCCCTTCAGGGAAGCCCTCACAGTTGCCTGGGTAAGGTCTCTAAGTAGGGCCACAGGTTCCTACTTAGAGAGGGCGGGTCACGAGGAAAGATGAGGTATGAGCACTCAAGCTAGTTATTAGCAATCTCTGGTCTACACACAAGGTGTGGCACTCACAGGCGTATCTGCACTTCCAACATCTGCCATGCCCAGGGTACCCTGTGTAGAGGCAGCAGTTTGCAAATCCAACCCACATTGTGAGGAGGAGGGCTTGTGGCCATCAAGCAACACAGAGGCTATTGGACCATGGGTGGAACATCATTAGGCCACCAACTCACTGGACTGTGTCCAGGAACTCTGTTGGGCAGCAGAATGCAGTGCCAGATGGCCATGGGCCCTGTCCCTAAGACCTGCCCACCCTTACCCCAGTGCACAGATCAAGGAGTCCTCAACACCATTTCTAGGAATGGTGGCAGTGGTCCTTGAGCCTCTTAGCATCTTACAATCTTCTCGGCCCTGATCCCCAAGGTCCACCTTAAAGACAGACTCTGCATTCTAGATGCTGGGGTTACAGAGGCGCCTGGGGGGTTCACTCAAACATTCTTTTCATATCTGGAGTCCCTCTGGGTTCTCGGGACCCCAGACTAGAAAAAGCACACAATATGGCTGTCCAGAAACTTCCTTACAATGTTACTCATCTTGTCCTCGTGTTAGACACAAACCAGTTAGGGTCACGTATCAGCCAACAGCATCAATAAAATGCTGGGTCACCTCTGAGGAGAAAACTCTCTTTAGAGAAGAGCTTCTTGCTCAGGGCAAGAGGCAGTAGAGCCAGAGGGGAGAACAAGACTAACCTCAGACTAGTCCCTGCTAGGCATGTACCTGCATGACAGAGGGATGTCCTACACACCTGTAACAGATAATACGTGCTCCTCCCCTGCCTGAACCAGGGGATGGCCTCACCTCCTCCCTGTGTGTCTTGCTGCTTTCTTCAAAGCCGCTTCCAAAATCTCCAGATGCCTGCAGGGTGTAAGAGAAGTGAGGAAGAAATCAGGACCACCAGAGACCCAATGATAGGACATCAATTGGACAGCAAGCAAGACACCTGCTGGGTCAAAAACAGTCAGACTCGATGCTCAGGCCAGCCAGAAGGTTGTAGGTCAGGCCTGAATACTCCTGTCACGTGACATGGCTGTTCTTTCTTGGGATGCCATCCTTAGGGGACAGGCAAGGCAGTGGGCAGGTAACCTAAGAAACCCCAGTCCAGACTGGCACTGGAGAAGTATACACAGAGGGCAGCTGCTTCACAATCCTGTCCCTGCCTATCACCTGCCTGGACTGGCTGCCTTCACGCTCTCTCTTCCCTGCAGCTTCCAGGAGCCCCGGGGAGGCCAGGGGCCAGCCATTCGTCCCACTAGGGAATGGAACTTAATATAAACCCAAAGGTGAAACCCCACCTGGGCCCACAGAACCCATAGTGAGAGCTCAGCGTCAAGGCGGCCCGGGTGGGATGGGTATGCAGAGAGCCAGCATGGGCAGCCTGTGTGCCTGCTCATTGGGCGGCACGCTCAGGAGTGAACATTACCCATCCAGCATCAGCCGTGCGCTAGAGCTAGTTAGTACTTGGTACTAGAAAGAAGCCAGTTACGTTTCTGATTTCCCTCCTGGAAAAAGTAACAGGTTTCCCGGGTAAGATAGAAAAGCACAAGTGTAAGGCAGACATACAACACAGCCGGGGTCTACTCAAGAGGAACTAGTGATGGGGGCGTTGTGATGTCCTTGGGGGGGGGGTGTCCCAATCCTGTCCTCAGGTAACAGGTAGATTGTTTCTTTGGATATCATGATATTGTCCACAAGCACACACAGACAACAGGGGCACACACAGACAACACGGTACGTACAGATCACACCACATACACCCCACATGGAAAAGAGACCCCACATGGCATACATAGCACATCAAGAGACACACACATCACACGAAAGGCAGATGTGACCTCCCTCCCTGTAAACGCACATCGTACAAAACCAAGAACACATTCACTTCCGGAAGTGGGACCCCCTCTATCACACTCTGTCACCGTGGGTTGGTCTCTGACATTTACATTTCCCCAGCTTTTCTGAAACGGCAATTTGAAGCAGGGGGAGGTGTCTGAAGACAGGTTCCTGGTGCCCCACTGGCATCTTTTGGCTTTTCCCAGCCTCCTCACACCACCACAGTCACTCACCCTGTCTTCGTCATCGTCATCTTCGTCCAAGCAGTGCACAGGGCTCACCCGGGGGGTGCTGCGTACCTTCAGCTCCGCGATCATCCCCTAGACGGAGGCAGAAGGTCACTGGTTTGAAAATGAAACGCAGCCCGCTCGGTGGATCGGGTGTTTGAACCCCCGGCTGTGAGCTGGTGGCACTGTTCGGGAAGGCTGTGGAATCTTTAGGGGTTGGAGACTCATGGAAGGGACTGAGTTACCAGGAGACTGCCCTGACATGTGACAGCCCCACCCTATTTTTTTTGTTCGATCTCTGCTTCCTGACTGAAGTGTGACCTGCCGCCTCACGCCTCATGTCACCAGGCTGTCCCTCACTGTCACACAGACAGTCTCAAACCGCCAGCCACAATAAGCACCTGCCTCCCTTTCTTAAGTGGTCTCTGGTCAGATATCCGGTCACAACAACAAGGAGGGAAGCTGAGACCCTGGAGCTCTGGTGGCGGGTGCTCAGGCAAGCCTCTGACTCATGCTGGCCCTGGGCCCGGCCTGCCAAGTTACCAGGGGAATCTCCCTTCTGTCGACAAGATCAAGAAGCGGGGCTCTCAACTGGCTTTCAAGTTGCGGCAGTTTCTGGGCCAAGCTGAGGGAGGCCGTGAGGATCAGAGGCAGCCGGCATCAAACGTGTCCCCGCACCTCATGATTTGTGTCTGGATCGCCGGCTCTCATGCAGGCTCCGAGGTGTCTGTCTGAGGGCACCCTGAAAGCTTCCCAACAGGATACGCTGGCATTCACCCACTGCTCCCGTGTTTGCATTTCTACCGTTCGCACGCTGCCCACACTAATTTCAGTTTACCAAGCGAAGACCTCGCTTCCTCAACTCCAAAGTGACTTTCTAACAAGAAAAGTCTACGGCCCCGGCCTGAGTGGAAGCTCAGCCTGATGGGAGATGCCTCCCTCTGGCTTCTGCCTGTGTGAATAATGATGTTAGCAGCACTAAGGGTAGGATCTGAGTGTCCTAACAAAGCTTGACATGGAGATGCTTGAAATCCGAATTGCACGCCGATTTTCACATATCATGAAATAACTTTTTGATTATTCCAGCCATTTGAAAACTGTAACCATCACTCTGGCTTGGGAGCCCAGCAGGGGCAGGCGATGGCTGGCCCCTGCTGTGCTCACACAGGGAATGTCCCAAATTCAGATGCTTTCGTCAGCTGACCCTCAATCACACTTCCCTGTGTCCCTTAAGGGACATATGATTACTAACAATCCATGTCTATACCCAGCTGGGTCCTGACCTGAGGCCTCCTCATCCCTTCTCATCTCAATGCTCAGTTCAGTCTGGCTTCTCTGGGAAATACTCCTTAACACCTCCCATGGGGTCAAAGCTACTCTGGGCTAGGCCTACCCCAGACACCATGTTCTACAACTCCTCCGAGTGTTGAAGACAGCAAAGTCTGTGTGTGTGTATACATGTATGCATAAGTGTGTCACACACACACACACGTATAGACACACACAGCTTGGCTTGATTAGTGTAGCTGAATGAGGGGCTAGATGACTATGGACCCAGGTGAGGGAGAGGGGAGGTATGCACCCCACGAACACCCCAACTTGGTCAGTTCCAGCCAGGGCAAGGCCTTCACTGGCCACGAGCAAGCATCGCCACAAGAGGTCATTTCAAAGCAGCCAGGTACACACTTGGGAGTCACACCCGCAGCCACCTAGCAGGCCCACCACCAAGGTGGTTTGGCTTCAAATCGGTTATCTCCGGTATAGTATTTTATCAAGCCACGTCCCTGCCACCCAACTCTGGTATATTCCAGAAGACCCACGGCATTGCCAGTGGACAAGATGCTAGTCTGTGCCCCCACCAGCTGGGCTATATGGAGGTGCCCGTTATTCACAGCTCTCTCCCTGGAACCCCACACTGACCCACACCTGGCTCCATTTCTCTGAGCTGCCAGGCCAGCTCTCCAGAGGATCTCAAGCACAGCCCTGGGGCTGGCATTGGATGGGACGCAGCAATGGTGACATCTAGTGACACATCAGGGAAACATACTTGACAGACTTGACAACAATATGTCCAGCATCACTGGTGTCTACTGGGTAATCGCCAGGTACAGGAGAGGGATGTGGCAAATATGGCTCAACAGCAGCAGACCGAGAGCCTGTTCTTGGTGACGAATGTGATGGGATATGGGGACCGTCACCTCCCAGGTGCTGCCCTTGGGAGCTGGGATACGCAGGTAGCAATGAGGTCCGACACCAACGCCCCATACTTAAACCAAACTAGTGAGACTGTACTGGTCTGCATGCTCCCTACCCTCGCCCGCCCTACCCCACCCTACCCTCCCAAGGTCACCCCAGTCCACAGTGTCCTCTGCACCTGGAAGGACAGAGACGGCATCCCTCCTCCAAAGCCCTCCCTCAGGCCAACAGAGCCCACCTTTCACAAGCCACAGATTTCAATGTACCCAGCCATCAGGAAACCCAGGCCGTGGCTAAGGTCATGGGAGGATAGTCGCTGGAGAGGAGCAGCAGAATGAAAGCCCTGATGTATGTCAACCCTGTGGGCCTCAGTGGGCCAGAGAAACAGGGCTGGACCTCCCAGGACCAACACTGTGACAGTGGGGACTCTATGTCCGATATCCCAGGTGCTATGATGAACTGAGGTGCAGGAGGCCTCTAGGTCTGGGAGGAAAAACAGAACTGATATCTGTACCCTAAGAAGACCAAAGGGATAGTATTGGACCAGCAGGGGAAGAATGGTCTGGCTGTGTCTGGTCCAAGGGAATTCTGGGATATCCAGTCAGCCAGCACCAGGAAAGCACATAAGTGCATACAGTTCTGCAAGAAGGAGCATATGATTGTGTGTGCATGTGTGAGTATCACCCATGCCCTGGAGCCCTTCATTATTCAGGCACAGGCCTATTGTACAGAGAGTACAGGATTTACAGGTAGGGGGATACATGCTTTCTGCTTCTCATGTCAACACAGCATCTGGGAACAGAATGGACAACTCAAGAGGCCCACTCAGTTCTGCTTTGGCAGGTGCCCTGGTGACTGTTGAGAGCCACCAGGGTCGGAAAGAATTAGATTTAAATACTAGGAAACTGCTCCCTAAGGACAATGCTGGTCTTGGGGACATTTCGGGTGGTCTCAGCAACAGACACATGGCATCCCACACTGACGGGCTCACTCCTTTGGACATGGCCACACACTCTGCCAAGGCTGTCGGGTGCCCGAATCTGGAAAAGGCCTGCAGAGGGCAGGAAAGACTTGTGTCTGCACTGAGTTCTGCTCTGCGTCCTGCCCTTCATAACTCTGCCAACCCCGCCTAGAGTTCTCCCAACATCCAATGGGGGAGATGTCAGCTGTACAAAAGCCATAAGACCCACTGCAAATATTTAATGGACTTGGACCCAGAAGTTAAGCAATCTGGACCTTGGAAACTGGGGCACTGTGAACGTTTATAGATGAATTCCACGTGGTAGGAAACTCTTCCGACCACTCTGACCAATGGTGCTGTAGCTGTGGGGACGTGACAAAAACCAACCAGCACTGGCAGCAGGCACACGGGCAGTCTTGGCTCACCTGAACCTGCTACAGCAGGGAGCAGTGTGCCAGCCAGCTAAGGTCAGAGGCTGAAGTCGCGATGGGGGGCGGGGGGACCATCTGCTGGTTTTGTCTCCTGTACTGCATCTGGGTTTCCCAGTGGCCTTCAGGGTGGCCTCTTTGCCCCACCCCTTTTCCCTCAGCCTGAGGCCCTTCTTCCTCCCTCCCATGGCCAGCCTAGTTCCTGCCTCCCTGTGACCTAGCCATGCTGCCTGCTCTGTTTGCTATAATGCCTCACCTCCCTGGTGTCTCTGGCCCCTGCCTTTATACTCATTCTCCCACAATGCTTTGTGGGCCTCCGGCTTCAGGTGTCTTTCCCCCTCCCCGGACTATCCCCACCTTCCCCTGTGACCAGATCCCAACAGGGCACTTCATCACAGCCAGCTTCCTTTGGATTCTTAACTCGCCCAGGAAGGAAACAGCATGCATGCTTTGGCAATGTACCCACCGCAGGTTACTCGAACTTCAGATGACTGGAAATGCTGTCTACCGAGCTTAATGCTGGTCTCGGGGGCATTTCAGGTGGTCTCAGCAGCAGACACCTGGCATCCCACACCAAGAGGAGCCAGTGGGGGAGACTGCTAAGAAACGAACTGAAAGCAGATGAAACAGTTCCCCATTCTCTATTGATCAGGAACAGACCTGCCTGGGTCAGATTCTGATCTCTGCTGCCTGCTCTGCCCCTCATGAGGGAAGGCCTGTTCTGATGTCATGAACTTGATGGCTGGGGCAACCTCACGGCACCAGCACGCACATCATTTACTTTATTTGAGGGGGATGGGGAGACCATTTCAAGATAAGGTTTCTACGTGTAGCCTTGGCTGGCCTAAAACTCAAGCTGTAGACCAGGCTGGCCTTGAACTGAGAAATCCACCTCTACCTCCCAAGCACTGAGATTAAAGGTGCACATCACCACCGCCCTGCTCATATACTTTTATGGTGGAGCCACAGCTGCACCCTGAGGAAAATTCACAGCCTCAAGAGCTTTTGTTATTGAGCCCGTAGTTTAGAAGACAGAAATGAAAGTTGACCATGAGATGCTCATGGCTGAATGAGAGAAGCAGGAAAACTGCTTAACAGGGTATCTGCTGAGGTCAAAGACAACAGGGATGAAGGGGTGCTGGGGTTGAAAGAGAACCAAAAAAAGAGACCTTAAGCCAAGAACTCATAAGACAAAGCAGGGCTGGGCTGGGCTCAATGAGGAGTACTGACCCAGCATGGGGGAGGCTCTGGGTTTAATCCTTCCTAGCACCCCACACTGAGAAAGAAAACCAAGAGAATGAGGGGAATTATTAATTCATTAGCTAATTAATTTAACATTAAATTGGTTTTCGAGACAGGGTTTCTCTGTGTATCTCTGGCTGTCCTGGAACTCACTCCTTAGACCAGGCTGGCCTCAAACTCAGAGATCCGCTGGCCTCTACGTCCTGAGTGCTGAGACTAAGTCAAGTGCCACCACCACCTGGCTAATCAAGAGGAATTATAGCCACAGGACACATAAAATAAGGGACAGAGCACCTGTACTAAGATACAGTTGGAAGCCACACTTTAAGGAAACTGAATACCAGATGGATACCCACGACCAAACTCAAAGGCACAGACAAGAAGATGAAAGGCAGCACTCTGTGAGGACTCTGTGAGGCAGCCGGCGAGGACCAGTGTTGGAAGCACAGCCAGGCTCTCCCTGGCACTGTGTAGTTGCAGGTGGGGACAGAGCATCCTCACTTGGGATGACTCGGAGGAAGCCTAGCTCTCCATCCAGCTGGCTCCCAGCTCCCTGGCTCCCCTGACTCCCAAAAGCTCTGGGCTTAGCTTCTGTCCTGTTGAGAACCACACGGCACGCTGACTCCTCCCCAGAGACCTCAGCACCAAGTCTGCATGGTAAGTCCAGCTGATTTAAATCCTGAGACCTAGCCCACAGGAGTGGGGGTGGGGAGAGAAGAGGATCAGACTGCTCAGGTCAGCTGGGGAGGAGCCTGTGGTCTGCACAGAACCAGCACAGGGCCGTGAATGTGCTTTGCCTCCATCCTGCCAGTCACCAAAGGTTTTTCATATTAAAGGTTGGAGGTGCTTTCTCCAGATCCAAATTAAAAAAGAAAAAAGAAAAAGAAAGGAAAAATGTGCATTCACAAAGAAACCGAGAAATGAACATGAAAATGCCCAAGTACAGGTTATCTACATATCAATATGCAAACCTGCTTTACACAGCCTGACAAGGCCCAGTCAGCGACAAGGCCACCTCACTCAGTGGGAGCTGGGACCCTCCATTGGCACCACTGGGCCATCATCTATGCCATTAGCAGTTCCATGCTCACTATTCCTCACCCACCCGATGTACCCCAGCCTGTGGGGTCTGCCAGCCCCTTGGGGAATGGTGGGAACAGCACAGCCTAAATGCCCCACTCTGGAAATGATGACGCTCAACTTTCTGGTAATCGTGTTTGAAGATCAGAAAGAAAACACAAAAGGGCCCAGTTTGGTGCCAAAGTCCTGGTAGCTCTTGAACCCCATGGGTTAAAAGTTCCTGCCAGAGGCAGAAGGTCAGCTTTCAGAGCTGTGGACACAGGACTTAGAACAACTTACAACAGGAGGCCCTTTTCTGGGTCATAATTGAGTGTCTGTCCCCCGGGGACATGTCCTTCCTTACACACACAGGGACCCCTGTCTGGGTCGGGCAGGGGCGTCCAGCTGCTGATGGCGGGAGTGCTGAATTCAGGAGCCATGAGTCAATGCTGAGTAGGGTCCCTACACACTTGTTCCCAGGAGGCTGGGATCCCAGCTGGGATCACCAGGAGGAGTACCCTCCTATGAGAAATGAAGGTCCAGAAACGAGGGACTTTTCTGTAGAATGTGGGAGAGAGGCACAGGCCTGTCGCTGTCCCCCTGGGACTGTGGAGCTAGTTGCACAGACTTCATTAAAATAATAGACAGCGCAGAATGGCTGACCTAAGAAGACCTGTTGTGTGAACACTGCCAGCCGAGTGTTCCCTTAACCATGTGCACAGCCAATGAAAGACCCTACTGTGGGGGGGGGGGGGGGCTTTGAATGAATAATTTGAGACAGGGTAGTCCAAACGGACCTAGAACTCTAGATCATTCTCCTTGCAACTCCCAAGTATGTCCCCTCACCTGTCTCATTAACTTTTTCACAAGATGCCTGAGCGCCTATTTTTTCAGGTGCAGTAGCTGAGTCCTGACTAAACCCCACACTCTCCTAGTCTAAGTTTGGGGCTTCTGGCTCACCACAGGCCCCAGCTCATACTTGAGAAGGGGATCTGGATCAACTCAGGATGGGAGCCTGGGTAGCAATAGACCCCAGCAGCCATCTTGTAGACCTTGGCGGAGGGTGTGTGTGTGGGGGGGGTTCTCAGAGAATTCACAAAAGCCCAGTACGATGCTTCCAGGGCACCAAAAGGCAAGAGTTGGGAAAGCAGATGCCACTCCAGCCACAAGCAGGGCTACTGCCCCAGGCTGTAGCATCAACTGGGGAAAACTGCTTTCCCTTGTCCCCACTGCCCTCTCCTCCCCTGGATAAGCACACTGTAGGGCAGAGTAGTTTACCTGAAACTTGTCAGGATCTGCTGCTCCAGCCTGACCCACAAAGAGGCCGGAGCCATGCTCTAGCTCCAGACCCTGTGGGGACCGAGCAAACGGTACTCTCTGGAACTCTTCACAGTCTACGTAGAGAGCCACAGAGCCTCCATCCACGCTGAGCGCAAAGTGTGTCCACTGGCCAACAAATGCAGGTAGGCGGAAGCTGGCACCCGTCTGGGTCTGGCTGTCACCAGACTCTGTGTAGAGCAGTGAGATGTTCTGGTGTCCATCGCGTACCGCCGAGAGCTTCACACCCAGCGAGACCACCAGCTGGGCGGCATCTGTGATGGCAAACAGCACCCCCGCAGCCTTTGTGGCTGGCTGAACGTGAAACAGTAGTGAAAAGTCATGGAAGAACAGTTTAGGGAAGTGATACCGGGCCACCTGGCCGCTGTTGGAGTCCGGTCCAAAGACGTATGCTGCCCCGACATCAGGGTCGTTGATTTGGGAGATTTGCTGGGGCAGAGGATCCCCAAGGAGCTGCAACAGCCCCACCTCCTCAGCAACATTCTCTGCAAAGAGAAGGACAACTGGTGAGGTGGCTGCAGGGAACAGACCGGGACACGGAGGCATCCTAGGAGACACAGGCCATGAAATCACCCCTTAGCCAGGTACTTGTGGATCCCTCTTCGGGCTTCTCCGGACCTCCAGGGGCTTACAGGCCAAAGCAAACATCCCGAGACAGGAGCAAGGAGCTGGAACCTGGAGTCTCCCACTCTCCCTACCCTGACTGCTGCAGGAGCATAACCGTGGAGTTAAGACCTCTCTGTACTGCAGAGGAGAGAGGCAGCACACGGCGCTCCTGCCTCAAGCTCTGCCTCCTCCGGGAGCCAGCTAGCAAACAATCAAACCTGGGAGACTCAAATGGCCAGGCTCCCAAGTTGGCTTTCCCTGGCTTCATTTGGTCATTACGGTTTCTAAGTTGACCCCGAACTCTCACTCCGGTCCCCCACAAACCTGCTGAAGCACCAACTGGGATATGATACAGGGCAGGGAGATAGTTCTTCCTTGGCCATTTCGGCTCCCTGAAGTTTGCCACCACAACATGGCACAGAAGGCCACAGGAAGGCTTGCAGCCCTGTACAGACTCCCCCAGATCCACAGCTCTTTAGGAAGTGCTCCAGAGTTGCCAGCGACCCATTCCCCTCACTTCCCTCCTAGCACCATCTTGAGTTGGACACAGCTTTATGAGCCCTTCCTGTCCTTAGCCAAGGGCTGTCAGGGCCACTGAACACACTCAAAACGACACGGCATTACTAAAGCCTGGGAGGAAGCGCTTGGGCAGGGAGAGTCATTCATGAAGCTCTTCTAGGAAAGAGCTGATGGAGGCAGGCAGCTGAGGGAGTGTGCAGATGTGCAAGGACACCATGCCTCAGGGCAGGCTCCAGCTGTGGGGCTAGACTGGCCAGGCCCCTGCAGAGTAGGAGATAGAAAATGATAAACGATCCCCCAACCCCCAACTTCACAGGACAAAGTGAGTCACTGAGTCCCTTGAAACCAGAAGACAAGAGCAGCCATGTGGCACATCCCTCAGGGGAAAACAAAACAAAACAAGCAAACAAACAAACAAAACCAGCTTTGAGTACCATGTGGAAAGCTCAACCTGCTGCAAGAGTACCCCGAGAGCCTCACCCTGTCATGTGCTCCTTAAGCCCTGCCATGGTGCTGGCCAGATGCAGAGTGGCCACAGCCTTGGTGGGGACACGGCTTTCGGGGACTGGGCGGTCTTCAGCCTTCAAGCTGAAAGCAGAGGAGACTGGCAGGCTAGCCAGCCCTGGGCAGTCGGTGACCTGACACCATCATAGCCACTACATGCTCCCTTCTCACCAGCAATGCTAGGACACGGAGTCCACACTGAAGCTCAGAAGCCAAGTCATACGTGCTGCCTGAGTGCTGAAGATGAGGCCACCCTGCCCCTCCTTCTGGACAGCAAAGATCCCTGGTGCCACTCTAATGCAGCACGTAGGGACTCCGCAGCTGCCGGCTTCCTGGGCTGGAAGGCACCAATTTGTTACATGATGAACCCTGGGTCCTCAGGAACCTAGTGCTCTTCCCAAGTCTTTCCATTTCCTTACTATGAAATTCTTTTTGGCTCTGTTCAGTAGATGCCAAATGCCAGGGCCATAAGATCACTGGCTCTGTTCTCTGGTTACAGCATTGGGGGTGTGGGGGGAGGGCTGGCTGCCTAAGGCAGGAAGCTCCTTCCCCTGTGAGGGGAAGGCCCGTGTCACGCTCTGAGAGCTCAGGAGCCTGCTGGAGGAGGCTGGCCCCTATGTAAGCTGAGGCCCCTCCAGTCACTCACCTGAACTCAGATCTGAGAATGGGGGTACTAGGTGGTTAAAGCCCAACTCCCCTGAGGTGACAAGGTACAATTCCAAAAGTATTTTTAACACACATGCCCTTTAGCTTCATGTGGAACCAGTTGCAGCCAGCAAACTCCTACCTCCACTCCATAAGCACAGTCAAGGCCTGGCTCTGGAGGGACCAGCAGTGAGAACACCCGATGCTCCCAACTGACTGGACCAGGCTCCCGGTGGTACAGGAGCCCCTGTTGGCCTCCCTCCCTGGACTACGCCCGGTTCGTTCCCTAGGTCGAGTGCAGCTTGCCAGACACTTGACCTTCGCTGCCTATCTCACCAGCAGGACCGGGTTTGAGAACATGGAGGGCACACAGCGCAGCCCTTTGGCAAGGGCTAAACTTCAGCAATGGCTCAGTATGGCAAATGTCATGATAAAAAATGAAGACCCTTAACAGGGACCCTGGTGGCATCAGGGCAAGAGGGCATGCACCCTCACTGAATATCTCTAAGCAGGAGCCATTCCCTTCCTCGGCAGGGCTCCTGGCCAACCTGGTAACTGCCCACCCTAGAGAAAGGCCTCCCTAGGCCAGTCCCCTGTGGGCTGCTCAGGCTCTGCTCTACTGCGCTGGTGCAAACCTGTCACCCTGTCTGAGCGATGCTATTGCCATTCAGAGCCCCACACCTTGCCAGCTGCCTCTCCCAGGGATGTGCCTGGAGATTGTGCACCCATCATCCCTGAGCTGGTCACTGGCTTTCCTCACATGCTCTGGAGGCTGCTGTGTATAGGGCTCAGGCTGTCCCTGCTCTCCCTGGCCTGCCAACCCTGTAGAACTCAGGCTGTGGCACACCTGACCCTACAGGGCCTAAGCCTGGGTTCCAGATGCGCATCTGGTGCTCCCAGACCCCAAATAGATGTCACTATTAGAGAACTTCCAGTCCAACAGCAGAGGGGAACATGTCTGAGATACCCAACTGCCAGCCAAGCAACTCCTATGGAACCTTCTAGAGAAACTATCTCTTAAACCAAAATATTTCCCGGAGTCAGAGGGAATTACGGCAGCTTCCCCTGATTCTAACCTCTGGGGCCTATTCAGACACAAACACACTTAGAGGCTGGGAGTTGGGGGTAGCACCCCCTATGCTGGACCTATAGAGGTACCCAATGGTCACCTAATACATAGCTGCAGAATCCAGGGGACAAGTCTGAGCATTCTAAAACAGTATGAACTGCTGTGGACGAGGCTCAAGAGAGTTATCTGAGCTGAGCAGTCAGCTTGAGGAGCTTTATCACATCCGCCTAGGCCTGGCCCAGCTGAGTTATGGGAGATGAGATGCATCAGACTCATTGTGGAGTGAGGCCTTGGAAGGTCGGGGGAAAAATTCATGATCAATAAAAGGCCTAAAATGAAAGGGTGGTGTGGGTTCAAGTGGACCAGCAACCTGAATATACTGTGAAGTCTCAAGTGGGAGAGATTTGAGCTGAGCCAGAAGCAAAGAGTAAACACAATAGCACAGCAAAGAAAAATCTGGCAAAAACAGCACAGAAGGGCTGAGGGGGAAAACAGCAGTTACAAGGTGAGTATTGTAACCATACCACATAGAACAGAGTTCAATATGAAGCCATCATCCTTTGACCTTTGTGTGTGTGTGCGTGCCTGTGTCTCTGTGTGTCTGTATCTGGCAGTGATGCCCTAGGCATGTACAGCAAGGCGCGTGTTTCTTAATGAGACTCCCTAAATGCTTTTTCTGTTCAACTTGAAAGAGACGATTTCAGTGAGATGGAGGGTCCTGAGCCTCAAAGATGTTTATACAAAGTTCCTTAACGCTACTTTGTAACCCAGGAGCAATTAGGGAGTGCATAAGCCCAGGGTGGGCAGACACCTGATCTCCATATCAAAACAAACAAACAAACAAACCCACGGAAAAAACACTTCCTGAAACAGCATTGCTCCCTGCCTGAAAGGCTAAAACTGAATGGAGCAATAACTGAAGACTTGGGCAGACACCCCACCCTGCTCTTACATGATATTCCAAACACCCACATGGTCAGCGTTATATGAAAAGTGGACCTGGTGGGTATTTTCTGATGAGGAAGAGGTAGTCAGATGTGATCATGCCTTGAAGATGATGGTCATGGGTCCCGACGATGGGAAAGGGTTATCCCAGGGACCCAGATCAGGACCTACTGACAATGCTGGACCAGTGCAGAAAATCCAGTGCCCCAGAGGGTCAACAGGCTGCTCAAACAAGAAGTGGGAAACACAGAAAGGTGCAGTGGGCAGAGCTATCCCAGGGTGTTAAGAGAAAATGCCAGAAGCCTGTAGCCACAGGAAAGGACAGGGCAGCTCCCTGGGAAACACAGGGCCTGTGCTAAAGGAGCTTTCACACACAGATGGAGGCCACTCATGTCCCTGTTCCTGTGTGCAGCCACAACATACACAGGTCTCAGTGGGCAGAATAATGGTCCCCAAAGGCACCTACTGCAATGAATGCTACTTTATCCTCCAAAGGACACTCCACTGGGACTTGGGTTGTGCAGCTTGAGGTGGGGAGACACAGGATCTGTTCATGCATTCATGAATGTCCTTTTCTCCAGGCTAGAGGCTCATGCACAGATGGGGAGGTTGAGTTATGGGCCCGAGGTGATGACTATGGAAACCTCGCCTTCTGGCATCCAGTCTAGTCACTGAGAGGTACTCTGAGCTAATGACATCTTAAGATTTGCCTTTTTGAAGAAGAATGTTTCAACGTGAGTTCCCAGAGGACTCTGCAAAATGGCAGGGCAGAGAGAACCAGGACTGGCCTCTTTGGAGCAGACGTGTGCACTGCTCTGTCCATCAAATATGCAATGCTGGGAATCTGGCATCTATGCAAGGTAGGAAGGCTCCCTTCCCTGATGCCTGCAGAGTAATAGAGAGCCTAGCTGCTGTGAAACCTCCTTCCTCAGAGAGCTACAAAAAGGGACCCCCCCCTCAACTCCTGCCTTTTTCAGAGTCCATCTCATATTGGGGTTTATATGCCTGCATTAATGACTCTTCTAATAGACTCCCTACCCCTAAAAATCTGTCCCAGTGTCCCCTTGAGCCCTTCATTACAAGAACAAGTCCTACACTGTGAAATCAAAGGGCCGACAGGGATTGGAAGTTACACGCCCTCTTAAAGATCCAAAGATCCTCATAAAGGGAGAGGCACAGGCAACCATTAAAGCCTTG